AGGGATTCTCCCTGGGCCGGAGATGGCCATTTAGACTAGGCTGGCTATCCAGAAAGTCCCCGGACTCTCCTGCCTCTACCTTCCTAGGACTAGAATTACAAGTTCGTGCCACTCAGCCTACAGAATGTTTTTTTTTTCCAACTACACATCTGATAGATGGCTAATATCCAAAATATATAAAGAATTCAAGAAACTAGATACCAAGAAAACAAATAACCCATTTAAGTAATGGGGTGCAGATCTAAACTGAGAATTCTCAAAAGAGGAACTGAAATGGCTGAGAATCACTTAAAGAAATAGTCAACATCCTTAGGCATCAGGGAAAGGTAAATCAAAACTACTTTGAGATTTCATTTTATACTAGTCAGAATGGCTAAGATCAACAAGACAAGTGACAGCTCATGCTGGTGAGGATGTGGAGTAAGGGGGACACTCATCTGCTGCTGGTGGAAGTGCCAGCTTGTACAGCCACTGTGGAAATTGGTGTGGTGATTTTTCAGGAATGTGGGAATTGATCTACCTCAAGATCCAGCTTTGCCACTCTTAGCATATACCCAGAGGACGCTTCATCCTGCCACAGAGACACTCGCTCAACCATGTTCATTGCTGATCTATTCATAATAACAAGAAATTCAAAGCAACTTAGATGTCCCCCAAAAGATGAATGAATAAAGAAAATGTGGTATGTCTACACAATGGAATATTACTTAGCCATTAATAGAATGACATCATGAAATTTGCAGGCAAATGTAGAAAAAAAAATCATTCTGAGTGAGGTATCACAGACCCAGAAAGGCAAGTACGATATGATATGTATTTGCTTACCTGTGGATATTAGCTGTTAAGTCAATGATAACCAAGCTCTAATCCATAGAACCGTGGAGGGTAGGTATAGAGTAAGAGACTAGAGAGAACAGATAGATCTCCTAAGGAAAGGTAAGTAGAATAGATAATTATGGATGGATGGGAAGGCTAGAAGGATCAAGTGTGAGGAAAGGGGGATAAGGGAGGGAGTACAGGGAGAGACAGATAAAGTTAAGGGGCATTTGAGGAGTGTATGGAAACCTAATATAGTAGAAACTTCCTAAATATATATACATATATGAAGGTGATCTAAATGAAATTGCCAAATAATGGGGGAGACAGAGTCCCAACTGGCCATCTCTTCTCAACAAATGAAGCTTCCACTACTGGGGTTGGGTTACGTCTTATTGAATTGTTGGCCAAAGGGATCCCACAGGAATCCCAAACAACACAGGCTGTTGCCAAGACTACAGGTTGCTCTCCACAAACTGACAGCAAGGCCCACTGCTGAAGACAACACCTCCACAACTCACTGACCATGGAGAAGTCAAGCTGGTGCCTACAGAGAGCCTTCACCCACTCCTGTGTTCTAGAATCTGTGGTACAGGAAGGTACTCTGCATTCTACCAAAAAAGAAATGTAAACACCAACCCAGCCACACACTTTTGGATCTACAATGGTGTTCTGTCTACAAGATATGCTAGTGCAGTGGTGGCACAAAGCTGTGGGAGTCACCAACCAATGTCTGGTCTGACTAAAGGGATAGCCCACTCCAGGGGATAGAACCCATACCCAACACTGCTTGGATGATGAAGAACCAGAGACTAGATAACCCAGGACCTAGCGTAAAACCAAATGATATTGGTCTGAAAAAAGAAAAGAAAAAACTAAATAAACAGTGATAAAATGACTCCTAATGACATTCCGCTATACTCCTAGATCAGCGCTTCCTCCTGCGGCAGATGGGAACAAATGCAGAGACTCACAGCCAGACATTATGCAGAGAGTGAGAGACCTAGGGACTCTCAGCCCTAAATGGATGCCTTCACCAAATCCCTCCCCACAGAGCTCAGGAAAATCCTTGAAAGAGGAAGCAGAAAAAGTGGAAGAGCCAGAGGGGATGGAGGACACCATGAAAGCAAGGTCCTAAAAATCAACATAAGCAGAGCTCATATGAACTCACAGAAACTGAGGCAGCATGCACAGGGCCTGCATGGGTCTGTGTATTATGTTACAGCTTTTAGTTTAGTGTTGTTATGGGATTCCTGCGTGTGCAAATGAATAGGTCTCTGAGTCTTGTGCTGTTTCTTGGGCTCTTTTCCTTCTGCTGCTTTGTCCTGTCCAATTTGATGTGATAGTTTTTGTTTTATCTTATTATATTTTGTTGTTATCCCTTTGAAGCCTGTTCCTTTATAAGGAGAGACAGAAAGGGAGTTGATCCGGATGGATGGGAGGGAGGGAGGGAGGGAGGGAGGGACAGTGGGGAGGGACTGGGAGGAGGGGGGAGGGGATAGATTATGTGAGAAAGAGTATTTTAAATAAAAGGGAGGGGGGAACTAGTCTGTGCCACCGTGCCGCTTTTTTCCAAGGGTCTTGGAGACCAACTCAGGTCTTCTTGCTCACACCTCAGGTGCTTTCCCAGTGAGCCATCTCCCCAGGCCCAGGTTCTTAAATATCTTCTTTGACTTAGCTAGGATTGGAATGTTTGCGCCTGTCGTCATGCCTTGTGATCCTCACAGAAGATGAAAGTATTTGTGGCTTAGAGATGTTGCCAGGATTACCCAGAAGGGACTAAGCCAAGGGGGAAGGATTTGTAAGAGTTCAAAGCTAACCTGGACTATACAGTGAGTGCTAGACCAGCCGAGGCTATCTAGAAAAGGCACTATTCTAAAAAATATTTCTTAAAACATGAAACAAACAAAATCAAAAGTTGAAATGAAAGTGTGTTTGGGATGTTTTTGATAGATGAGTACTTTTTTTGTTGTTGTTTTAGTAAATATTTTTTAGAGTTAATTGCGGACTCTGTAACATCGCCATTGAGACCTGTTCTTTACTATAAGCCTTGTGGGTGCCAAACAGTGGAGAGCAGTGGTTCGCAACCCTCCTGACACTGTGACCCTTTAATACAGTTCTTCATGTCGTGGTAATCCCAACCATACATTGTTTTCATTATTTTTGCTACTGTTATGAATCGTAATGTAAATATCTATGTTTTTGGACGGTCTTAGGTAACCTCTATGAAGGAGTCAATCGACCCCCAAAGGGGTGGAGACTCACAGGTTGAGAACCACTGATGTAGACTCATTTGTGTATTGGAGAGTGCAGCTAGAAACGGGCCGCCACGGGAAATCCAGCTGGGTCACAGGGGTCTAGCTAGAGGCTCAGCAAGTAATAAATCCACCTTTCATACTTTTGCCTTTAATAGTAAATGCTCATATAATACTGTTGGCCTGGTGGCCTACTGGATGCTTAGAGAGGGGTGGAGGCCTCCTCTAACTCTGTACCCTTGGCTCCCAGATGCCACTGTGTTCTCATCTCTAGCCCCGCAGAGTGGTTTTTTTTTTTTTTTCTTTTGCACCCTTCAGTGATGGAGGCCTCAGAAAGGTTGGGAATTGCTGCATAATTTAACATCCTTCATGGCTAAGCACTAAAGCATATTCATAAGATGCAGTGATGCAGGAATGCTCAGAATAATGACATTGTTAATTAGAAACCCGGACTCTGGGCACTTAAATTCGTGTGTGTGTGTGTGTGTGTGTGTGTGTGTGTGTGTACATTTGTACATGGGTGGAGGCCAGAGTAGTGTTAGGTGTTATTCCTTGGGTACTGTACTGTATTTTTTTTTCTTTTAGACAAGGTTGCATACTGGCTGTGGAACTCACTGAGTATCCACATTAGGTTGGCTGGCCATGGAGCCCCAGGGCCCCTCTTGTCTCTGCCTCCCCAACACTGGGATTACAAGTGCTCACACTCCACTGACTTTTCATTACAGTGTGTGTTCGGGGGATGACATTTAGCTCCTGTGCTTGATGACAAGCACTGGGCTGACTGAGCCATCTCTCCAGCCCGCTACCACTTGTTTCTCTTCTAGCCACATATTTTTCCCTCTGTCTTGTTTGTCTCTCTTGTTAGGGTTTCTGTTGCTGTGAAGAGACACCATGACCACGGCAACTCTCATAAAGGAAAACATTTAATTGGAGTGGCTTGCATTTTCGGAGGTTCAGTCCATTACCATCATGGTGGGACATGGCGGCATGCAGACAGACGTGGTGCTGGAGAAGGAGCTGAGAGTTCTACATCCTGTGCAGGCAACAGGAAGTGAACTATCTTGCTGGCTTGAGCATATATGAGACCTCAAAGCCCACCTCCACAGTGACACACTTCCTCACACAAGGCCACACCTCCTAGTAGTGCCTCTTTCTTTGGAGGCCATTGTCTTTGGAACTACCACAGTGTTCCATGATCCTCACAGAAGATGAGAATATTTACCATTTAGAGATGTTAGCTTGTCCAGCATCGTCCAGGTGGGAACGGCCGCATTGGGATCCATGCCTACATGTATCTGCAGCTAGGGCTTCATACTGCTTTTCAATGCCTCTGCGCCAGGCCAAAAGACATGCATACATACATACATCATACATACCTACATACGGAAATAAATGAATAAATAAAAATCTGTATCTTTACTTGATGACAAGTCCTAGTCAGGGCTGGGGACAGTGGGGCTTAGGGTAGCTAAGCCCTTGTGATACCGCAAGGGCTGCAGATGGGCAGAATAGGGGTCTAAAGCAAGCCTGGGCTGCTGGGGGAGGGGCTGATCTGGTTACTCGGCTAAGCGGCACACACTGGCCTGTGCTGTGTTCTGTGTGAGGGGTGGTGGCCGTCGTCTTATCCTCTACACCTTTGAGCCAACTTCTATTATTCTTCTCATTTTAAAAAAGGGGAGACTGAGGCTCCTAGAAGCTACCTCAGACCTACAGGCCCAGCTGGGAGGTAGCAGGTCTGGGATTTGATCCCACATTTGTCATGACGTTCCCCAGCATGGGGTGCTTCCTTTTCCCTCTGTGTCTTCTCTGGGTCAGGACCCAGGGTGGCATGACCCCTCCCTTCGAGTAATGAGCTGGTGGTGCCAGCTTCCTCTCGGTGCTGCCAGGACCGGACTCACAGCCCTGCCTGTTGCTCTTTTTCTTCCCTAGTGTGCTGGGCGCCCTCCTGATGCTTGCTTCTCAGCTTGTTTGCCCGCAGCCCTCTACTGAACACAGAAAGGTAAGTCCTGGCCGCTCAGAACCATTGTCCGTCTCTGCCAGAGGGGGCGGGGCCACCGTGGCCGCTTCTCTTATCCTTGTTCTACCTGGAGGTTAGTTCCAGTTGATTCTGAGTAGAAGCCCGTTTCTGGAATATTTGGCAGCCTTTCCATCTTTTCCATGTCCCTGGGACTCAGATATGAAGCCAGTGCTCAGAGTCAGTCTCTGATCTGAGAGCAGAGTTGGCTTTGCAGCCTGTGTTCCTCGAGGTGAGCGGGAAAGCATGGCCAAGGCTCTCAGGCAGAGAGGCCCCACCCAGGAGTGGGGAGCACTTGCCAGAGCCGGTGCATGTGGGAGCACACCTTCAAGGCCATAGGCAGGCCAAGACTGGAGAAGCTAATGTGACGTGAGAGGAAACCGCCCTCTCCATAGGGAGCTGTGATCACCGATGGAGGGCCTCAGTCTCTACTGCCAGTGAGGGCTCTGGGAAGGAAGAACTCGGCGTTTAGTCCTCCCACCCCATTGGTGCTTCCCTTTGAATTAGTCTAGACCAGCAGTTCTCAACTTATGGGTCGTGTGGAACGACCTTTTCACAGGGATTGCATGTTAGGTATCCTGCATACCAGATATTTATATTATGATTCATAGCAGTAGCAACATTATTGTTATGAAGTAGCAACAAAAATAATTTTAAGGTTGGGGGTCACCATAACATGAGGACCTGTATTAAAGGGTTGACGCATTAGAAGGTTGAGAACCACTGGGCTAGACGGTTGACAAGAGCCCTGGATTCAGTCCCCAGAGGCCAGCTTTCTAGGCCCCCAGGACATGAGGAACTCACTTCCCCTCAAGTTCTGCCCACCTCATGGAGAACTTTGCCCTGGGACATGAGCCAGCTTAGTGCTGTCTGGCCATGCATCAGGGGCTCCTAAGAAATAGACACGTGACACTCGGACAGAGTACCTCAAGTCTGCTGCCTGGGTCTTGAGAAGAGAGAAGCTGTTAGTATTGAAGCGGGCTTTGCTAGGAGAGGGTTTTCACAGGGGAAGTCCAGAAGCAAAAAAAAAAAAAACGGACCGAGGAAGGAAGGAACGTGTGAAGGGTTTCACCCTCCCCCAGCCGCGTTTGGGGTTCTCATCTGATTTATCTAATTTCTTTTAGATCCGGGGCTTATGTTCTGTTTTTCTGAACCAGGTAGGAAGTCTCTCTTGTTCCCCACTGCAAGACAGCTCCATGACTGTGTTCTCATACACTGCTCTAACTCTGGAGTGGAGCCTGGCCTAGTAGGTGCTCAATGCAATACTCGTTGAGTGACTAACTAATGGAATGATTGGGACCTGGCCAAGGTCCAAACTTCATTTTGCCAGATTGGTTTGGAAATTTATAACCTCTCACTCTGTTGTCTCATCCGCAGTCACAATTTTAATAAGTAGAAGCTTGTAAAAAAAATTATTATTGTGCTGTCAATTATTAATGTTTGGTATTATTGGGACTGAGAGTTGACTTGCCCTAATGGTGTTCTTTTTGTTCTTGTTGATGCTCAAATATGCAATCACAGTTAAAAATATTGTATAAATAATCCAATTATTTTGCTGTCTCTCCTTGTCTTTCAAGATAACCTGAATGTTATTATGGATTGAGTCTCATGGTGAAAGGTCCCAAATGGATGTTACCTTCATTTTTCTTTAACATTTTTTAAATTAAATTTCATTGGTTAAGTCCAACTGTCATCAGAGAGGCTTCACCTAGCAACTGATGGAAACAGATACAGAGACCCACAGCCAAATATTGGGCAGAACTTGGGGAATCCTGAGGAAGAGGGGAGGAAGGATTTTAGAAGCCAGGGGGATCAAGAGCACCCCACGAAAATCCTCAGAACCAGCTAACCTGGTCTCATAGGGGCTCATGGAGACTGAACAGACCACCAGGAGCCTGCATGGTTGACCTAGGCATTCTGCATATATGTTACAACTATGTAACTTGGTCTTCCTGTGAGACCCCTAACAGTGAGAGCAGGGGCTGGCCCTGACTCTGTTGCCTGCTTTTGGGACCTGTTCCTACCAGATTGCTTCATCCTTAATATATCACTGCAACTTGATATACCATGGCTGGCTGATATCCATGGGAGGCCTGCCTGTCCCTTTTCTGAAGAGAAACAGAGGAAGAAGAGTAGATGGGGAGTTGAGGGAAGAGGGGAGGTGGGAGGGTTGAGACATAAAAACAAAAAAAAAATAAGCAAAAAATTTCGTGTGTGTGTGTGTGTGTGTGTGTGTGTGTGTGTGTGTGTGTGTGTGTGATGTTAGGTGTGTTGTGTGTAATGCATGCCAAGGGGCACATGTGGAGTTCAGAGGACAACTTATGAAAGTCATTTCTCCCCTTCCACTGTGTGGGTCCTGGGAATTGAACTCAGGTCATCAAGCTTGGTAGAAAAAAAACCTTTACCTGCTGAGCTATCTAGACCATCCCCCCATCTTTCTCAAAGGTTTTCTTTTTACCGCTAATGGAAAGAGAAAGGTTTAGGAGTTTGCTTTAGAATGTTGAATTTAAAACACTAAGGCAAACAGTATCATATCTTGGTATACAGTACCTCCTTGTCAAAATATTATTAAGAACTTTGCAATCGAAGGCTAGGTTTAAGCCCTCCCCCTGCCATTTATAGATTTCTTCACTCGAGGGAAAGACATTTCAGAACAGTTGTTGCTTATAATAAACACATGTGTCTTGGCTGCCAAGGTTCTTGCCATTCGGCCAAGAGAAGAAGGCGCTTAGGGCTTCCTTGGGTGGTAGGTTGCTTTTCAATGTTTTGTTAAGAGTTTTGTGCAACTGTGGCTGTCATCCTGGGGATCCCCAAAAACCTGGCAATAAAAGTGGGGCTGGCAGGAGTAACATCCACTTAGGCCTGCAAGAGGCAGACTAAGGAAATGCTCATTAACTGAGCCTGCAACACTGTCTATAAAGAGACAAGACTAAGGAAATGCTCGTTAACTGAGGCCCGCAACACTGTCTATAAAGAGACAAGACTAAGGAAATACTCATTAACTGAGCTTGCAACACTGTCCGTAAAGCGTTGTGGAGAATACTTGAAGTTTTTCTGGGCCATGCTTTCTGTCACAAACATTTAACTCTGGTTGGTCGGGAGGCGGCCAGAGGCAGTGTATATAGGAATAGTCATGGCTGTGTGCCAGTAAAGCTTTATTTACAAAAATAGGTGGTGAGCTGGATTTGGCTGGTGGGCCAAAGTTTGCTAACCTCTGCTCTAAGTTCAGGATGTAAAGGACTGAGCTGGGACTCAGGACATAGTTCATTCAGTGGGGTTCTTGACTTTAATCCCTAGGGCCCATATTTAAAAATCCAGGAGTGATGGTACACCTTTGTAATCCCACTGTTGGGAGACGGAGACAGGAGGATGCCTGCGGCTCACTGGTCAGCCACCATCGCCCACTTGGCGAGCTCCACATCAGTGGGAGGGCTTGTTTCAAAAAAGAAAAAATGGTGGGTAGTGACTGAGAACAACACCTGAGCTTTTCCTCTCCCCTGCACAGACACAGGGCATACATGGGCACATGAATACACAGGAACACACACACACACACACACACACACACACACACACACACACACACGTGTATTTTTGGAATTTGAAGGTGGAAATTGCCTCTTCCTGAGACTTGAAAGAACAGAAAAGAATTGAGAGAAAAAGTCATATAGTTTTTGGTTCAAATGAGATTTATAATTGCTGTCCAGTTGCTTTCATTACGTAGATACATTCATAATTGAATTCTTACCGACCCATTGTTCTGTGGTAAAATTGCGTCTCTTAATTGTTTGCAGAGAACAGCAGAAAGAATTAGAAACCCATCTAAGGTCAGTTCTTTAGGGGCAGCATTATTAATCTGCACATATTACAGTCGAGTGTGTATATGGAAGCCGGCTACTCGAAGGCTTTCTTTTCTTCCTTCTTACTGTGGTGTGTCCAACTTCAGCATATGGAAGCGTTTCCAGCGTAAGTTATTCCGACCAAGAGACATAATTTGTAAATGCTGTCAAGTAAACTATGCGCGTCTCAGCGCCGCTCGGGTGACTGGCTACGTCTCTTTAGAACTGTCCTCTATAATAATACAGGCTGAGGGACCCGGTGCAGAGTGTAAGTAGCGCTTTCCAGATGTTTCTATCCAGAAGGCCTCCTATTCTGGCAGGATTAACAACCCCACAGAGGACCACTCACCCGCTCACCCTCTAGTCTCAGGGATTAATTGGTGAGACTTGGCAGAGGATGGTAGGCTTTTGGTTGTTGTAGGTGGTGGGGTTTTATTTATTTATTTATTTATTTATTTATTTATTTATTTATTTATTTATTTATTTATTTATTTTTCTCGTGGCTTCATTTGTGAAGAGGAGACTAAGAGCAGGGCCGAAAGCATGACCAAGACAAACTCTATCCAGGAAAATTGTGGAATAGTGTCATTTTATGTTCAACGTATTTATGTGTGTATGCATGGAGGACAAGTGTGCATGTGCATTTGTGTTTGGAGGCTAGAGGTTAACCTTGCTTGTTACTCCTCATCTACCTTATTATTATTGTTGTTGTTGTTATTATTATTTTGAGACAGGGACTCTGACTGTTTGATGCTGTTTTGGCTAAGCTGTCTGGCCACCATGCCCAGCTTTCGACACAGGTGCGGGGTGTAAGCTGGGGTCCTCAGGCCCACGTAGCGAGCACCTTATCTACCGACTGAGCCATCTCCCAGCCCCAAATCCTGCGTCTTTCAGCATCTAGACGTGGAAATGCAATCAATTTCAATGGTTCGTGATTCTTAAGTTTATTTTTTTAAAATGAACATTTCTCATTTACTGTAGAAAATGTAGAAAGTGATGGTGACTAGAAGAAGGAAATCGAAACTCACTGCTGGGGCTGCCTGCCAAGGGGGCCACACTGCAGCCTGGTGTTTATAGAGACTTCCGCACAAACAGAACAGAGACGCTACAGAGTGAGTGAGGGAAGTCAAATGTTTGCTTTGCTAA